CTGAGGCCCGGTCGCGGCGCCGGGCCGCCTTAGACCTTCAGCCCGGTGCTCGGAGAGGTGCGGTCGGTCCCGGGAGGAGGGGAAGCACTCGGGACTACTCTTCCGCGTCGGTTCGCTTGGGAATTTTTGTTTGTTTTGACTCTTGCCAAATTTCAGGGTCCATAGACTTGAACGGAAGGCCACTATCGTTTACCTGGGGTTGGATTATTAAGGACAATGGTCGCCAGTCGAAGGACTCTTAAATATTGTATAATTTAGCTAGTAAGTTGGGAAAAAAAGTTAAATTGCGGGCAGTTGTAAAATAAGTCAACGTGGACTTGGCGTGTGCACTTCTCGATGAGCGTAGATAAATAATTTTATGTGTGTGTTGCAGAAGTTTCAACGATTTTCTGTGGCGAATCCTCCTAAATTAGCTAACTACAGGCAACTGAAATTTTTTTTTTTTTTTGCCGGCAATCGCAGTTCTTATCTAATCGACAACTAGAAGCGTTCTTGTATCACAGTGCCCTCTTTTTCCTTAGATCCAGATTTTTCAAGAGTTGGCTAAAATTTTTTAAGTGGTTGTTTTGTGCTCCTTGTTTCTCATTAACCCTTGATTACAGTTCAGGGAAAGATTGTAGGCTGTAAGAACTTTGAGTAACTTAAAGTGTATTTATAGTTGTGAATTTATGTTACCTTCGTGGTTATTTGAGAAAGGTGAAATTTGAGATGAATTTGGAATTATACTGCTTAATTTTGTTTATGCAGGTTCTTTTGTGAAACTTAGCATATGAGAACAGAAAGAAATTTGTAAAGAGCAGTGATTATCAACAACTCGAGATTCCATTCCTTTTTGGGCAAGCATTGAATGTTCTCCAAAATACTCACATGCACATAGATAGGGTTTTGTTTTGTAATTTCATTAAGTGTACAACCCGAAATTAACAATTCTTGTAAAACGATATCACTAAGTTGATCTTTATATTGTTTTTAGAAATGTCATTCTTACATAGGTTAATTTCAGCTCAGAAAGTTTTTTAGCCCCCCCCCCCCCATTCAGCCCTTTGTCTTGAGGTGCATGCGTCTCCTGCCTTTGTTTTTGAAGAGCTGCTGGGTCACTAAGTTGTCCAGAAGTTGTCCAGGCTGGGCTTGAGTTTGTGGTCCTCCTGCATCAGTTTCCCAGAGTACTGGGACAGGACTGTGCCACTGAGCTCGGCTTCAAAATCTTTTATCCTGGGGCTGGGGATTTGGCTCAGTTGTTCCACCACCTGCCTCACAAGCACAAGGACCCGAGTTCGATCCCCGGTACCAAAAAAACAAAAACAAAATCTTTATCCTGCAGACACTTTCTTTGATTTGGCTCTGGTTGAGAGAAATGAACCTAGAACATTGATAATTCAAAGTAAATCTTGTAGAACCCATGTTCCCATCCTTCAGGAGAGGTATTTTGCCCATGTGACATGAATTTGTACTACAGGCAGTGCCAGCACGGTTTGTATTCCTGCTTTGGGAGTCCAAGGTGCAGAGGCCTTTGCCTGTTCTCTTCACTTTCTGAGGTGTGGGTCAGTTCAACATATAGCATTTTAAGGTTGGTATTTTTCAAAGAATAGTATTGTTGGAGTTTAGTATTGCTTCCCAAAATTTGTAGTTTGAAAATGAACAGAAAGAAAAAGTTTCCAACTGAATGCAATTGTAGAAGGAATGTTGAATAAAGATAGCATTTTAGTCTAGCATGTAAATTTTCTTCAGATGTATTCTTGAAGGTTCATTGGGATAGACATTTTAAAGTCACTTTTGTAGTAGCTGTCATTTGTGAGTGTTTATTTACTCTGTGTTAGGTACTGTTCTTAGCACTCTACTACCTCTTTAATTCTCACAACAACATACAGTACCAATACTGTTAATGTCCTTACTTTATTGAGAGAGGTGCCAAGACACAAATAGGTAAAGTCATGTTACCAAGGTCAGAGCTGGGACATGGTGTAGCTGGGATTTCAACCAAGGGCATCTGCTTCAAGCTGCATGCTCTTAACCGTTAAAGTCATTGTCTGGCAGATGGCATATATGAGCAAGATACTAACCGTGCAGTTTTCTTTCTCTATTTTTGTTTTGTTTGTTTGTTTTTTGGTACTGGGGATTGAACTCTGGGTTCTTGAGCTTGCATGGCAAGTGGTGGAACCACTGAGCTAAATCCCTGGCCCTTCTTTCTCTATTTTTTATAATTATTATGTTCTACATAAAATAGTCTTGGATGAAAAATATGCAGTATGAGTTCTAATTACACATAGTATTGAAAAAATTATACAAAGCTTTTCTTTTTGGTACCGTGATTGAACTCAGGACCTGGAGCTTGCAAGGCAGGCGCGCTGGCACAACTGAACGAAATCCCCAGACCCTGTACAAAGCTTTTAAAGCAAGTCTCACTTGGGAAATATAGTTTCATCTAAAGCCCTCTTTATATTTTCAAGAAAAATCATTTACAGTTAGGTGAACAATCATTTCTCAGGGCAGAAATACACATGAACCTGTAGTTTGTATGCAATCATATAGTATTGTTTTTCTTTTTATATAGTTGACATTAAAGCCTTTTTGGCAGTATGCAGTACAGGTTAATAAGTGGTGCTGCTTCAAGTAGAACTCTGAGTCCTAGAGAGCTAAGAAACTTTATTCCCACTTAACCATAGTAGGTTCTTTTGGCTCTATGTTACACATTAACTAAGGATTCAAGATTTAGGTAGCCCTTGAACCTTTGCTGTTAGAGATAATGGTAATTCTAGTGAGTTTCTTAATATGGCTATTTGTTTTTTTACTTTTAGATGTTATTACAAAATCATCTTAGGACTTTCCCCCCCTACAGTACTTTCTGCTGTTTTAAAAATATGAATAGATCCTCTATACAGTTAAGAAATTTAAAATTAAATAGTTTTATCTGGAGCTAATCATTCTAGCTTATCAGTGTATTTTTTGCTGTTTTTGTTTGTTTGTTTTGTCTTTTTCTTTCTTGAGACAGGATCTGGCCTTGAACTTACTACTATCCTCCTGCCTTAGCATCCTGAGTGCTGGAATTAGAGGCATGGGTCACCATGCCTGGCTCCTATCAGTGTATTTGTATCCATTTATTTGTTTATTTATTTATTTATTTGGTTTTTTGAAACAGGGTCTCACTATGTAGTTGAGACTGACCTAGAACTCACTATATAGCCCACACTGGTCTCGAACTCCCAGCGATCCTCCTGCCTCAGCCTCCCTAGTGCTGGGATTACAGGCATGCACTACTACACCTGGCCTTTTGTATCCCTTTAAATAGAAGCATTCAAAATGAAGCAGAACCTCATATCATGCTATTTGGAATCCAGAGGACTAAAAATTGTAACACCTCATCTGATTAAAGATTGACAAGGTGGTGCATAAAATAGTTTATTAAAATGAGAACCAAGACCTGGCATGTATAGGTACAAGATCCCAGCAATGAATGTAACTGTACTGTCTACCTAGAATGTACCAGTAAATTAAATAAAAAAAAAAAGTTTATTAAAAAAATTGGAAAAAAATTTATATAACACTATGTGATACTGGAATGTTTTAAACTATCTAGTTAATAGGAATGGCTGTTTACTATAACATGCCTGAAGTGTGAGTGATACTGACCAATGTGAATAGTTAATAGCTTACTTAAATCAGTGTGGATTGGATCACCTGGGCAGTTTATATGAATGAGTGGAATCTTGAATTTACTATGAAAGATTAAGTCACACAGTTAGTTGGCTAAGAGGAAGAAGAGGTCCCTTTTTTACTTCATAGAAAATTGAAGGTTTCTCCCCCAGAATAATCTTAGGTGGGAAGTTTTCTCAATCTCAGTATAGCAATAATTTTCTTTCTTTCGTTCGTTCTTTCTTTCTTTCTTTCTTTCTTTCTTTCTTTCTTTCTTTCTTTCTTTCTCTTTCTTTCTCTTTCTGTCTGTCTGTCTGTGTCTGTCTGAGATAAAGTCTTGCGTTGTAGTTCAGGCTGGTTCTGAACACACTAGCCCAAGCTAGCCTCAAACTTACAGCGATCTTCCTGCCTCAGCCTTCCCAACGCTGGGTGTGTGCCACCATGCCCAGCAAATAATTTTCTTTTATCTATCTATCTATTTATTTATTGTCTGAGACAGGGTCTCATCATGTAGCTCAGACGGCTTTGAACTTAGGGTTAGCCTCTTGAGTGTTAGGATTACAGATACGTAACACTATGCCAGGCTAGCAATAGTTTCTTAAAATACCTAGCATATCAGAACACTTTTGCCAGGCATGATGGTGCACACCTGTAATTCCAGCCCTCAGAAGGCTAAGATCAGCCTAGGCGACATGAGTTCGAGGCCTGCTTGAACTATGAAGTGAGACCCTGTGTCAGAAAACCTAAAAAAACAAACATACCTTTCTAGGCACATTGTTTGGCTCTCTGTAAAATAAATTATCTCATTTAAATCTCACACCATCCATGAGGTAGTCACTTATCCTCATTTTACAAATGTGGAAACTAGAACTCAGAGGAGTTAGATAACATGTCCAGGGTATCATATCTAATAAGTAGCACAGCCTGTAGTGAAGATGAGCATTAACTCGTGAGATCATGATTTTAACCATGTAATAGAGCTTCCTAACCCTGCTTTCCCCTAACTTAATGCAGTTTTAAAACTGCATTTCTTGCTGGGTGGCACACAACTTTAATCCTACCCCTTGGGAGGCTGAGGCAGGAGAATTGCCAATACCAGCCTGGGTTATGTAGTGAATTCCAGGTCACAAGTCCATAGTGAGACCCTGTTTAAAAAAAAAAAAAAAAAAAAAAAAAAAAAAAAAAAAAAAAAAAAAGTTTTTAAGGTTGAGATTTAATGTGAATTTGGTTATATAATTAATAAAAAAAAGTGGAAGTAAAAGCAGTTGGAGGTAGTAAAAGTTTTTTGATTGCCTTATCTGTAATAGCTAGGAGTCAAAGGACTTCCTTCAAGCTGACAGATGAGGTGGCAGGAGTAGAAGCTTATTTAGCAGTTCAAAGGTAAACTGTGAGTGAGAGTGCTGTGGACTGTCATTGTGCAGTGTGGTAAAAGTTGGGTTATTGTGAGCCAATTTCATGAGAGCGCCTAGTTGGGTGTCGGGCTGTGTAAAGAAACGGGATTAATGGTATTAAAGAAAATTATTTAAGATTACAGTTGGAAAGACAGAACCAGAAATGCGTATTAGAACAAAAATATCAAGCACCTGAGTTTTTGGGAGAATGATAACTACACAGAAAGACAGTGGATAATAGCAAAAGATATTTTTAAAAAATTATTAAGTCAGAACCAGACTTTGTGTCTCATGCATGTGATCCCAGCACTTGAAAAGCTGAGGCAGTAGAATTGTGCGTTTGAAGCCAACTTGTGCTGAAAAGGAGTTTCAGGCCCCAGCCTGACTGCCGAGTGGGACCCTGCCTCAAAGACAAACCAAGCAGCAAAATGTAATGTGATAGACTAAGACCAAGAAGGTTTCTTTCATATCGGTGTACTTTAAGTGATTGGCTAACCTGTTACAAAGATTGCAGATTGAATCACAAAGCAAAATCTGATTTTTGCTGTGTTTAGTACAGCCAGTGAAAATAAAATGGTTTAAATGTTAAAATGGAGGACTTAGGTCCGTGGTGCCTTGGCCTGCCTCGCAAGCTCAAGTTCCCAAGTTTGATCCCCAGGCCAATAAAAAAAAGCTAAAAAGGACAAGAGTACGCAATACCTCCTGAAAGTCAACTAAAAAGAAAGTATTGGTCTCACGGTGGCATTTGAGCAAAGTTACTTCAAAACGCTAACCTGTATTTGACAGTGAATATTTAGCATGATGAATATGTGCTAAATAATTGTGTTAAATCATAAATAACAAGGTAACTTTCATACTGTAGAAATTTCAGTAGATACCGGAAGACACTTTAGTGCCTGAATAGTAGGAAACTGGTTTGTTGTTGTTACTGGGGAAAGAACATAGGGCCTTCACAGTAAATTTGTATCTCCAGTCCTTTTTTTTTTCTTTGAGTCAGGATCTCACTAAGTTGCCCAAGCTGGCCTTGAACTTACTTAGGATCCTCCTGCGTCAGCCTCCTAAGTAACTGTAATTACAGGTATGTGCCAGTACACCTCTGGTTTAAGATAGATTCAGATGAAAAACATATAGAAATCAGAGAAATGATTACTCTGGACCCTGAGAAACAGCATGCTTTTTTAGGTCCCATGGGCAGAACATAAAAACTCACTATGTAGGATCCATTTATAGGGAGGGGCAGAGGGAGGACTTAACAGGCAGAGCACCGGAGATTTTAGAGTAGAGAAACTACTCTGAATGACACTATCTTGATGGACAGAAGTCATTACACGCTTGTTGAAGCCCACAGAGTATGCAGCCCCTCACGTTTGAACTGTGGTGTTTAGTGTGAGCTTTGAGTGGTAGTGATGTCCCTATTGGTTTGTGGACTGAAACAGGTGTACTGAGATGTTGGTAAAAGGTGAAGGGAGAGAGAGCAGCTGTATGTATTTCTCACTCAGTTTTTCTGTGAACCTAAAACTGCTGTAATAAGTAAAGCTTATATTTTAAAAATTAAAATTTAGCTGGGCATGGTGGTGTACACCTATAATCCCAGCACCCAGAAGGCTGAGATGGGAGGATCACTGCAAGGCCGTCCTGGGCTATATAGTGAGTTCAAGACCAGCTTCACCTATATAGTGAGACCTTGTCTCAAAACAAAACAGAAAACAAAACAAAACAAACAAAATCTTCTGAAAGGTTAAAATACATAAGTAAAGTTAAAAGATTAAATTTGACAGTCTGATAGGAAAGTGAGCTGGGGGTGTAGCTCAGTGGTAGTTCAAGGCTTTGGTTCACTCCCTAGTGTGCAATCACACAAAACAAAACAAAACAAAAAAATGGACAAATGATATGAATAGACAGAAAAGGTAGCAGGAAAGACAATATGAATGACCCATAAGCATAAAGAGAGGTACTGTGCATCATTTGTAGAATGAAGAATAGAAGGTAAAACTATACAGATCTAACATTTCTTTCTTACTATGTTGGTAAAGATCACTGGGCAAAGTGGCACACACCTGTCATCCCAGGACTTGGAGGCTGAGGCAAGAGAATTATTAACTTCGAACACATCCTGGCAACTTAGCAATTTAGTGAGACCCTGGGTTCAGTCTCTAGTAACTCCTATACACACCTAAAAACCCTAAAAGTGTGACAGTCCATTCTCATAAAGCTATAGGGCAGCAGGTCATTATATGTTACTTTGAGAGCATGAAAAGGTTCATTTGTTGTAGAGGGCAGCTTGGCAGTAGTCATCAAAAGTAAAATTGCATTTATCCTTTAACCTGGCAATTTTACTTCGGAAAATTTGTGGCAGTCCCTGTCCATCAATGAAATAACTTGTGTATATGGCCATTTGTTTCAGCACTATTTGTAAAAATAGCTCAGGTGTTCATCAGTATTTAGGTAATAAGTTATGACTCATCTTACAATGATGTACTGTGCCATTTGAAAGTATGTAAAATTAACAGACTTGAAAAATATGTAGCCCAGTATATCTTGAATTTTTTTCACATGACTATAATCCCAGCACTTGGGGGACTGAGCTAGGAGGATCACTGAGAGTTGAAGGCAAGCCTAAACTGCATAGCGAGATTTTTGTCTCAAAAAATGAATTAAAAAAAATTTTTTTTTGTTTTTTTGAGACAGGGTCTCACTATGTAGTTGAGACTGACCTGGAAATCACTATGTAGCCCAGGCTGGTCTTGAACTCACAGTGATCCTTCTGCCTCAGCTTCCCGTGCTGGGATTACGGGTGTGCACCACCTCGCCCACCTAAAATTAATTAAAATTTTTTTCTTTTGAGTTTATTGGTACATTTTATGCATACAGTACAGTTATGTTCATTATTGGGATCTTGTACCTTTACATGACAGGTGGTCTTGGTTCTCATTTTTTTCCCCTTGTCCTTGCCCTCCCTTCACCCCCTCCTACCCTCCCCATTTACAAACACTTTATTTCCATTTTTTTCATTTTCTCATATTTTTCTCTCTTATTATACCTTTCCCCTACCCTTCCCACTTTCCCTACACCTTTAGCCCTTTTCTTCCCATTACTCCTAAGTGAAATAAATAAGGTACACGTGTAAATACCAAATAGTTTCTCTGTTGTGAATAAAATGAATTGAATTTTAAGATTTTTCTTACTGAGTAACCAGAATCCAGGAATCCAAACAGATGACTCTTGTTTATTATTTGGCTTGGTACACTGTTACCCATCCTTGTTTCAGAAGTACATGTGTAGCAAAGTTAATTCCTCAGATAGTACCCTGTAATGCTTTTATGGGATACTTTTCCTGACTGAGTTTTCAGCTGAAGCTGTATAGCCATGTGGTGAACCTATGGCATGCATGCCACAGTGGGCTGTTTGTATCATTGACACAAAGCTCTAAAGGGTTTGCCATCACTGGTCTAGAGGTTGAGCATCCCTAATCCAGAAATCTGAAGAGTTTTAGATTTGGGAGCATTTTCAGATTTCATATTTCCAGGTTACAGATACTCACGGAGTAAAGTCTGTGCAGATATTCCACATTTAAAATCACTCTGAAATCTGAGACACTCATGGCCCCACTTTATATAAAGGGAATTCAACCTGAATAATCTGGAAAATTAGGGTACCCAATGTTTGTCTCAAAATAGTTTCAAAAGTGTGTCCTTTATTTTTGACCATTTCCAACAAATGATACCTAACTAAGCCAATTTGAATTATTGGCACTTGGGCATTACATGTTTCTATGTAAAATATGTTTCCATATGCTGTGTTCCGTGTTCAGTATGTTTATGTGTAAAATATCCTATTTAGCAGGATGAAGTTAAAGGAAGTAGATCGCACCGCCATGCAGGCATGGAGCCCTGCCCAGAACCACCCTATTTACCTGGCCACAGGTTAGTTCAAAAGAGAAAAGATGGTGTGAGTAACCTAATGCTTCTCATCTACATCTACCTAATCCATACGTGTCTTTTAAGGTTCGTTTCCAGCTTTGTCTCTGAATAGCTCTCCATCCCTTGAAGGATGCCTCCATTTACCCGTCACTTAGTTGGATGAGCTTCTTCTGTGTTTCCATAGACCCTTGTACATCAGAACATTGACCACAACGGTGTGTTACGTGTACAGTCTCTTTCCCACTGTGCGGAGTTGTGTTTATCTTTAGTCCTCTAGTATTAAGTATAGTCAGTGCTCAATAGTATAGCTGTGTCTTTATAGAAACTGCAAGGAATATCATTTTGTAGAAATAAAAGACATGTAAAAGACAGTTGGAATGAATGAAGAGCAAGTCTGATGTAAGCAGTTTTAAGTAAAAAACAATTTCATCATGACTGACTAGGAGCAGGTAGAGCAAGTCATGGAACTTTTTACAGACAGCTTTTTAGAATATCTGCAGGCTTAAAGAAATTATCTGTGGTACTGTTTCTTAGAAACATCTTGTCTCGGCCTCATGCCAGAATCTCATTGCTGTAGTAATTGAAACATCTGCTCAATGGCATATATGCTGAAATTTCAGCCATTTACACAGCATTCACGAGCAAGATAATTGAAAGCCATGCTTTGAATTTCCATTTGTGTCATTTCCCTGAGTCATTTATTTTTGCATGTGTAGTTACCATGAATGTATTCTCCTTAGGAACATCTGCTCAACAGTTGGATGCCACATTTAGTACCAGTGCTTCCCTTGAGGTGTTTGAATTAGACCTTTCCGATCCATCCTTGGATATGAAATCTTGTGCTACTTTCTCTTCTTCTCAAAGGTATGAAGTTCAGCCTTAAATTCATGTGATTAGTTATATGTTGGGGATTGATGCCTACTTTGTGTGTAGTTATGTCATTGTTAGAAACTGTAAAGAATATCAGTGACATGAGACGCTTTGTGAAAAATTATGTAATAGCATTTTTGTGGAAATTAAAGTATGCACGTGTGCTGATTCTTTTATTGCTGACAGTGTAGTGTGTGAGAGAGGCTGTAGTTTCTAATTTTTTTCCTCATAGTATTAGTGAAGTTTTTTTTGTTATTTTGTTTTTGTTGTTGTTTTATTTTTTTGGTTTTTTGAGACAGGGTCTCACTGTATAGTTGAGTCTGACCTCTAACTCACTATGTAGCCCAGGCTGGTCTCAAACTCACAGTGATCCTACTGCCTCAGCCTCCCAAGTGCTGGGATTACAGGCGTGCGTCACCACGCCTGGCCTGTTGTTTTTTGAGACAGGGTCTCACTATGTAGTTGAGACTGACCTGGAACTCACTATATAGCCCAGGCTGGTCTCCCAACTCAAAGTGTCCTCCTGCCTTCCAAGTGCTAGGATTACAGGCATGCGCCATCACGCCTGGCTGGAGTTATTTTTTTCTATTTCTAGTTTCACTTGTTTATAAAAAAGGCAGCAGTACTACAAGAAGTGCTTATTCACTATATTAATAGTGATCATCTCTGAATGTCAGATTATTCTTATTTTTTTCTTTGTACTTTCCTATATTTAGAAATTATTTCACAGAGAAATTATTTCTTTTTTCTTTTTTTTTTAAGAAATTATTTCTGATACACTATTTGGATCATGCTTTCAAGTCCTAATGCTGTATGCTAATGCAGAGAAAGGATGCTTTCATTTCAATAATGAGAGAAATTTTCTTGCCTGTCTTTGGCTAGCAGAATGCAGCCCCAGTCATAGGGTTTCATGGGCCCTCTTGTACCCCTCAGGGCCCTTCCTTTTTTTTTTTTTTTTTGTTTGTTTGTTTGTTTTTGGTACCAGGGATTGAACTTGGGACCTTCTTGCACTTGCAAAGCAGGCGGTGGAACCACTGAGCTAAATCCCTGGCCCTGGCCCTTCCATTTTGATAGGAGGAACCCCTGCTGCCTCTGTCTCATCACCATCTCTCAACCCTATGCCTCTATGCCATGTTCATATTTTTCCTCTGTGAGGTTTTACTTTCCACCAGAGATAGTAGACATAATTTTGCCTCACCTTTCTTCTGTCCTGTTTTATTGTTTTTCTTTGAAAACTTCAGCTAATTCTCTTACCACTTTAACTTTTCAATAGACATCCTGTTAGTGACCACTTGAGTAGTCAAGTAGAAGGTATTATTTTTCAAAATTATTGTTCTGTTTTACAGAACAACCTAACGCATTTTAGGAAGACTGAGTAGCTAACACAGGTCTTACATTATCTAAATAGTGAAACTGTTTTCGAGCTCTATCTTTTCACTTACAACTCACACTCAGATAAACTTTGCTATACTGTATTACCCCACAGAATTTTTTACTTGTTGAAGATTATAAATTCATGTAAATGTGAGTATAAGTAAAAAATGAAATGTCATTCACCAAAGTCACAGTTAATAGGAGTGGATGAGACATTGTTTTCATAATACTTATAAAAGACTTAAAAAATTAAATGTATAATTTTAAATTATTTTCTACATTTATTTGACTTCATTTTTTCCTACAGGTACCACAAATTGATTTGGGGGCCTCATAAGACAGATGCCAAAGGAGATCTCTCTGGAGTTCTGATTGCAGGTGGTGAAAATGGAAACATTATTCTTTATGATCCTTCTAAAATTATAGCTGGAGACAAGGAAGTTGTAATTGCCCAGAACGACAAGCATACTGGCCCAGTTAGAGCCTTGGATGTGAACATTTTCCAGGTTTGATTTTGACATTCATTTGACATTCAGTCGTAGTTGTTAAGATATGTGTTACTCATTTGAAATAAGTTTATGAATCTGACGTCTTAGTCTTGGAATTGAAAGCTAAAAAAAGAAATGTATGCTTGTATAAGTTGATGACTGAATGCATGTAAGACTGGTGGGTTCAGAGTTGATATGAGGGTAAAGTATGCTAGCCCATGGAGAAGATAAGGCTACAGGTTTATTTCTAGCAGTCCAGAAGAGTCTGTCATAGCATTCGGCTGAACATTTTTAAATAGGAGCTCCTGAGATTGGAAGCTTTGCCTTTGAAAAGTTTGTGTAAGTCAGGATTAGGCTGGTACTGTAGTGTCACATCTTATTAACTGAGAACTTTTGTATTTATGATGACTCCTCTGCAATAATTAGAAATTAAATAATGCAGATTTAACAAATAGGTCATTAGTGGAGGTGCAACTAATCCTAGCACTTAGGGAGACTGAGGCAGAAGAATTACGAGTTTGAGCCCAGCCTGGGCAATTTAGCAAGACCTTATTTCAAATTTAAAATATTTTTGTTCGTCATTGTTGTTGTTGTTTTGAGACGGGGTCTCACTATGTAGTTGAGACTGACCTAGAACTCACTGTGTAGCCCAGTCTGGTCTCGAACTCACACTGATTCTCCTGCCTCAGCCTCCCGAGTGCTGGGATTACAGGCATGTGCCACCACACCTGGCTTCAAAGTTAAAATATTTTTAAAAATGGATATGGAGAGGAATGCCCCTCATTTCAAATCCAAGTACGACAAAAACAAAGAAAAAAGAAATCTGTTGCCTTATAAACATTACTGAATATTAATTATATGTGTATAGGTTAATGCAGATCTTGATTTAATAGGATACTAAATTATAACAAACAAAAAATGAATATTTAAAAATTTTAATAGTTTTTTCCCTCATATTGGCAGTTGAACACAAGGGATGCTGTGCTACATCTCCAGCCCTTTTTATTTTTTTATTTTGAGACAGACTCTTACCAAGTTGCCGAGGCTTCCCTTGAAATTAGAGTCTGCCTGCCTAAGTCTCTCAAATAGTTGGGATTACAGACATGCAACATTATACCTGGTTAAATAGATTTTCATGTATCAGAAACATTTGGGGAGCCGGGGATATGGCTCAGTGGTTCCGTGGCCTGCTTCGCAAGCGCAAGGGCCCCAGTCTGATTCCCAGTATCAAAAAAAAAAAAAAAAAAATGACCCGAGTTCAATCCCTGGTACCAAAAAAAAAAAAAAAAAAAAAAAAAAAAAAAACACCTTTAGGGGGCCAGGGATTTTGCTTAGTGGTTCTGTGTCTGCCTCACAAGTGCAAGGACCTGAGTTCGATCCCCAGTACCAAAAACAAACAAACAAAAAAATAAGGTATAGAGGCAGATGGTAGAACTGCTGAGCTAAATCCCCAGCCCACTTAGGGCATAGAAATACAGAAACTTTATTTCTACAGTTTGTAGTATCTACTCTTTAGATTAACTGGATAGCCAATTCCTTATTTATATTAAAACACCTGTTCATTTTTGGTAAAAAATATATAATAGGTAGTTATTTACCAAAGAATTTTTCTGCTTTTATAGTTAATATGCCAGTTGATCAGATAAATTATGAGAGTGAGTAATAGTGGATGAAGGTCAGTATATGAAGCTCAGGGCCAGGGATTTAGCTCAGTGGTGCCAGACTACCTGTCAAGTGCAAAGTCCCGAGTTCAATCCCAGGTTTTACATCACAGCTTTTTTAAGGGCCTTTTTTTTTTCACTGTACTACAATATCTTTAATTTTTTCAGGAAAATACCTAGAAGGGGAATAGATGGTACAAATGTTTTAATGGTCTTTAGACACTAAAGCGATGTAGTAGAAATAACATAGAAATATTATCATCTGAAATAAGATTAGATATACATGAACTAAAACTAGATGAAGATTTAACACAAGAGTTCTATACTCTGAAGGCTGGCTTTAAGGTACCATGAGAACAGTGCCATAGTTTGAGGCTTTTGGTATTTTTGAAAGCTGTGATCACTGGTCGTTGTCTTGTACAGTCATATTTCCTTCCAGAAATGCAAATATACAAACACTATTCTCTTCATAGTTACAAGAATGATTAAGAATTCAATTCACAGGGCCGGGGATTTAGCTCAGTGGTTCTGCTGCCTGCTTCGCAAGCATCAAGGTCCAGAGTTCAATCCCTGGTACCAGAAAAAAAAAAGGGTTCAATTCACAAAATTGTTCTTTTTTTGGTAATGTCTGGCCTTGAAATTAGTATTCTTCTAAGTAGATTTATTTTTGAAATAGCTTTACACTGTTTTTCTTTAAAAAAAACAATTTGAAAAATTATGCCTAAAGATCTCACACATTTGTTTTGCTTTTTAAAATAGAAAAATTGTATGTCCCAAACCAACATCTTTCTAGCTCTGAACTCTGTGTTCCCTTAATTATTCATAATTACTGTCTAGTTATTAATTATTTTATATTGCAGACTAATCTTGTAGCCTCTGGTGCTAATGAATCTGAAATCTACATTTGGGATCTAAACAATTTTGCAACTCCAATGACACCAGGAGCCAAAACACAGGTATTATGTTGATTTTGGTCAGTGTAATCAAAGCAATCAAAAGTATTTCTTATAAACTTATATATATATTTCAGTTTTAAGTTTTTCACACAAATCATTATGTAGATCATTTAATTGATTTTTCAAGAGAATGAAGTGTTAATAAATGTTTCTTTGAAGTGTGAGTGAGGCATTCTACAGTAAATATTTAGTGCTTACCACCTGCTAGACACTGTTGATTTTACTGGGCAGAGAGTAATAAACAGAATAGACAATTCTTAACAATTCTTTTTAGATACACTATTATGTTTTCTTACTGTGTTATAAAGTATTCTAACAGCATCCAACCTGATTTAAAAATAAACTTTTTTGTGTATTTCCAGTAAGTTGGTTAAGAAGTCTTTCCTTGCTTTCTTGAGTTTCTTGTTAAAATGTTAAAGATACTTGAAGTGCCACATTCTTGTGTTTTAAGTGTGTCATTTCTGTTTAGAATGGAGGAATACAAAGGAAAGTTGTGTAATGGGTAGATCAGGTTTTTAAATCATTTTAAAATCCGAAGCATTTGATTTTATAATTAAATTTACCACAATAGGGAAACAGTTTTTAATAGGTTATTCCTTATAGCCCCCGGAAGATATCAGCTGCATTGCGTGGAACAGACAAGTTCAGCATATTTTAGCATCAGCCAGTCCCAGTGGACGGGCCACTGTATGGGATCTTAGAAAAAATGAACCAATCATCAAAGTCAGTGATCATAGTAACAAAGTAAGTATATGATCAATTTGTGATGAATATGTTTCTGCTATAGGTATTCCTATATTATCCATCAAAATTGCCAACAAATCAAGTTTTTGTAAAGTCAAATCCTGTCTTTATTCATCAATCATGTTGGATTGAATGTGTTTTTTTCCTCTCTCTAAGGAAAATAATAAAGTACCCAGCGAACCATATTAGATATTAAAAATTTTTTTTTATTGGGATTTGATCTTAGGACCTTGCACTTGCCTGGCTGGCGTGGTGCCACTGAGCTACATCCCTTGCCCCTCCATATTAGTATTATTACTGATTCAAAGAGGGATTCGCTGATCCAAAGGCTTATTTTGTGATAACACTGGTTTTGCTTGGCTAGGTGTTTCCAAGCATTGCAGCAACTTTTTAATTCATGTTTAGCTTTTCTTAGACATGTATAACTTTTTCTTGCTGGGAATTGTACGAGTATGAACTTGGAGTTTCCAAACTTCTGGCCTTACCTCTTCATGTTTAGGCTCTACCAAAAGGAGCCAACATCTTCCCACATGCTCACTAGACTCAGCTACAGAGCACATTACATCTCAACCTTACAAACTTGGGATTTTTTTTTTGTTTTTGGTTTTCTTTTTTTTTTTTAAGTTTTTTGAGACAGGGTCTCACTATATACTTGAGACTGACCTGGAACTCACTATGCAGCCAGGCTGGTCTCTGTAATCCTCCTGCCTTAGCCTCCCAAGTGCTGGGATTACAGGTGTGCGCCACCATGCCCACCTTCAGCCTTACAAACTCTTTATGTTATTAGGTACTATAAAATAATTTAGACACAATTTAGACATTTATGTTCTTTGGTTTTATTTATATTGGCTAGTTTGACATTTTCTAAAACGAGGTTGCCTAAGTTAGAATATATATGTAATTTAAAAACAACAAATTGTTTAGAAGAATATTCCTTCAGAGTGTTGTATTTCAAATAGATCAGAAGTTTTAAAATGCAAGATTGAATGGAATGGTCATAAAATTTACGAGATTTGAACTTCTGGATAGTTCTCAATAATGGTACTTATTTATTCCATATGAAAATACAGGTGGTAGTTGTTGCTTCAGATTTTTTTTTTTTTTTTTTTTTTTTTTTTTTTTTTTTTTAGTTTTCTGAATGAAGAAAAGTTTAGGAAGGAGGTTTTTAAGACTACTATTTAATGCTGTCACTAAAATTTAATAGTTTTAAGTTATGGTTAAAAAACTAAGCCTAGGCTAATATTTTTTAATATTTGCTTCAATAAAGGCATACTCCTCAAATTTTATTTTGGTGTTTTGTAAAGCCATGTGATTGCTAAAATCTGAACCTTCCCCATCTGCAGATGCATTGCTCTGGGCTGGCCTGGCATCCTGATGTTGCCACTCAAATGGTTCTGTCCTCTGAAGATGACAGGTTACCAGTGATCCAGATGTGGGATCTTCGGTTTGCTACCTGTCCTCTCCGTGTCCTGGAAAACCATGCCAGGTAGTGTGCTACTGTCCAAGGAACTTAATTTGCTTATGTTCTAAAACATTTTTTACCACTTTGGATTATCCAATTTTTATTTTTTATTTTTTAAAAATAATTTTATTTCCTTTGTAAATATAAATAAAATTCAAAATTGTTTTAAACATAAAAGCTACAACTATAAAACTTAGAATAAATCTGAGGAGGGAAGAAAGCTCCACAACATTGATATTAGTAATAATTTCTGGATTGACACCAAAAGTGCAAGGAACAAAAGCAAAATAAACATCTGAGAAATATTTAAATGTTTCCTGAAGTGTAAAGGAAACAATCAGCTAAGTGAAAATGTAGCCCATAGAATAAGAGAAAAAATATATACATACACATATATAAAGAATAACCCCATACAATGATAAGCAGTTAATATTCAAGGTATATGTGAAACTCATAAACTCCATCAACAAAAAATAAATTACCTGATGAAAATATGAGCAAAACATTAGTGTACTATTACGGTTTATTCACACTGGAGAAACTATTTGGTATTTACACATGTGTGACTTATTTATTTCACTTAGGAGTATATCCTCAATATGTATCCATTTTCCTATAAATGAATCTAATTTTTCATTCTTTATGGCTGAGTAGTATTCCATTTTATAGAAAAACCACATCTTCTTTATCCAATCTCCAACTGATGGGCAAATGGGCTGTTTCCAAGTTTTAGCTATTACAAACTGTGCCGTTATAAACATGGGTGTGCATATATCACTCTGGTGTGATTCTTTTAATTCTTTTGGAAAGATACCCAGAAGAGGGATGGCTGGGTCAAATGGAACCTCTAGTCCCAGATCTTTGAGGTATCTCCATATTGATTTCCACAGAGGTTGCACCAGTCTGCACTCCCACCAACAATGGAGAAAGGTTCCTTTCTCCCCACAACCCTACCAACATTTGTTATTGATTGATTTCTTGATGGCAGCCATTCTTTGTGGGGTGAGGTGGAATCTCAGTGGTGTTTTCATCTGCATCTCTCGAATGACCAGTCATGTGGAGCATTTTTTCATATATTTACTTGCTGCTGTTACTTCTTTGTCTGAGAAATGTCTGTTCATTTCGGATGCCCATTTTTGAATCGGGTCTTTATACTTGGGGGGACTGATTGTTTTGAGTTCTTTATAGATTCTAGATAATAGTCCTTTGTCTGAGGAGCAACTGGTAAAAATTTTTTCCCACATTGTAGGTTGTCTCTTAGTTCTGTTGATGGTTTCTTTTGCAGTGCAGAAGCTTTTTAATAAGCTGACATCCCAGTTGATTCTTTCTGCTATTTACCATGCTACTGAGGATTTGTTCGTAAAGTCTTTGCCTATGCCAATGTCTTCAAGAGTTCTGCCTAACTTATCTTCCAACAAATTTAGTGTTTCTATTTTAATATTTAGATCTTTAATCCATTTGGATTTTAATTTAGTGTATGGTGAAAGATAAGGGTCTAGTTTTAATCTCTGGCAAGTTGAATCCAGTTTTTCCAACACCATTTATTAAAGAGGCCATCCTTCCTCTAGTGGGGATGGTGAGCTCCTTTATCAAAGATGAGGTAGCTGAGTACGTCTGGAGTTGTTTTTGTGTCTTCCAGTCTGTTCCACTGATCCTCAGGTCTGTTTCTTTGCCAGTATCATGCTGTTTTTATCATAGTGGCTTTGTATTATAATTTCAAATTGGGAATTGTTATACATGCTACCATGTGTCTATTGCCTAGAATGTCTTTTGCTATTCTAGGTCTCTTATGATTCCAAATGAATTTTTGGTTCTTTTTTCTAGTTCTGTGAAATATAGTGTTGGAATTTCAATTGGCATTTGCATTGAATGTGTATAGCAGTTTTGGTAGTATGGCCATTTTCACTATGTTGATTCTTCCTACCCAGGAGCAGGGGATATCTTTTTTTTTTTTTTTTTGAGACTGTCTTTTTGTCTTGCCTAAGCTGACCTCAAACTCAAGATCTTCCTGCCCCAGCCTCCTTACTAGCTGAGGCTTCAGGCATGCACCGTTGCATCTTCATAGATAATTTTTTTGCATTTTAAGTAAGGGGTTTACTATGTGTCTTTCTTGTGAATGGCAGTGCCAATGGTTTGTTTTTTTGTTTGTTTTTTTATTGGTTTTTTTTGAGACAGCATCTCACTATGTACTTGAGACTGACCTGGAACTCACTATATAGCCCAGGCTAGTCTTGAACTCAGTTATCCTCCTGCCTCAGCACAGGTGCGTGCCACCACGCCCAGCTTCATTTATTTATTTATGTTTTTTTTTAGTGCAGACTGGCCTTGAACCCACTTTGTAACCTGGGCTGGCCTCAAATTCATGGTGATCCTCCTGCTTCATCCTCCCTCCTAAGTGCTGGGAATACAGGTGTGCACCATCATACCCTGCTGCAATGGTTTGTTTTTGTTTAAGGAATAGTTATCTGATTTTCTTTACCAAAATGGTAACCAAATCATAGTATATTAGTATGAATCCTTTGTTGAAAGATAGTTTATCAAGCATTTCAAGTAATTATAAATAGATCAAAATTTATTTGAAGCTGTGCAAACTCCCAATCACCTGACCAAGAGTAAAGTGGTAGGATTAAAAAAAGACAAGACTGGATTTTAACGGGGAGCCCAGGATGGTCAAAGTTGTTTGTCTGTCTCCTGGAGCTTGCTGCTATTTATTGAACGCATGACTTCTAGAAAGGGTAACGGGTGGTGTAGGGAGCAGTGAAGTGGAGAGCACTCGAGAGCAGGTTCCTTGCAACAAGAGAAGGAAACATTCTGGGAAGAATAGCTCATAGATTAATGATGAATGTGTTTCTTCCCACGGATTAATTTTTGCCTCTAGGAGTTTTCTGTATGAGTCATGCTGCCCTTAGCTGCACTCTTGTCTTCAAGTCAACACAGTGTCACAGATCATTGAAACCCCCCCATCCCCCCACTCCCACCCCCTGTAGCCAGTGGTGTGGAGAATTGTTCCATCCCACACACCAACTTCTGGCTCTTAAGGCAGGCCATTGTGGGTTGATAAGTAGGCTCAGACTTTTAACATGAAAAGCCAGTTTATGAATTTACAGCTCACTCAGAGTAGTCTCCATCAAAAATTCCTTTTTTTTTTGTGGTAGTGGGGATCCAGCTCAGGACCTTGGTGCTTGCAAGGCAGGCGCAGTGCCACTGAGCTGAATTCCTGGCTCTTAAGGCCATTATACTCATGAAGAAGAGATTTTTTATAAAATTCGACGTCAAATAACAATTTTAAAAATTATTTTTGTTTCTAAATATTTATTTGCTCTGTGTTGTGTGTGTGTTTTGGTTTTTTTGAGACAGGGTCTCACTATGTAGTTGAGACTGACCTGTAACTCACTTTGTAGTCCAGGCTGGTCTCGAACTCCCAGCTATCCTCCTGCTTCAGCCGCCCGAGTGCTGGGATTACAGGGGTGCACTACCATGCCTGGCTGTGTTTGTTTTTTGAGACAGGGTCTCACTATGTATGTAGTTCAGGCTGGACTTGAACTTGCGTCAATCTTCCTGCCTCATTCTCCCAAGTGCTGCGATTACAGGCATGTGCCGCCATATCCAGCTTCTAAGTTTTTATTTAAAAAGCAAACATTTTGTAAAATTACTAGGTTTATTCTTTCAATTTTAATAAATGTGTTAATGCTTGGGTCCTTGTTCTTGCAAGGCAGGGGCCAGAACCACTGAGCTAAATCCATGGCCCTTAATATTGTTAATTAGTAATTTGACAAATTTCCTATATTGATATTCAGGTACCTAGAGAATTTATGCAGACTTTTTCATTGTTTTCAAAGAAGAAAACAAATTACAATATAGTATAATCTAAGTACTTTTAGGCTTTTTTTATTTTTTCCATTCAGCAATAGGTAAACTAATGTTTTAAATTTATCTCTTCCCCTTTAGTGAGTTTATACTTGAGGAAGTTTTAATGAATCTTAAAAGTTTATGATGTCAAAAAAAAAAAAAGAAAATATTTACGATCTGTCCTGGAACTTCCTATAGAGGAGAAAAGAGTCTAGTCAAATGTAACTGTTAAGATGTTATGCTTCAGTCAGATTTTTAGGTGTTTTTTGGTTTTTTTTAGAATGATTCTGAGAGGTTTTACTAGATTTTTTCCTGATATTTAATGTTGAATTTATTAATTTAACAGAATTTCTTGCCTTCTTACAACTAACACTGAGGTAACACAGTGTAAAAGCACCATACAAGTTCACTTTGGATATTCTCACATTTTACAGGTCAGAAACTGAAGCCCAGCAAGGTTAAACTTGCCTGAGGCCATATAACCAGCCACATGCTGACTTCCAGCCCATTCCGTGTGGTCCCAGAGTCTGTCCCTCTACACTGCCCTTCTCACTGACTCCAATCTTAGGAGTGCTGGTGAGAAGTTAGCAGAGCAACCTGCTGGGTACCAGGAGCAAAGCGACTTCTCTAGTTCTGTTTTCTCACTATAATAAATGAAGTAGTTGAATTATATGATCTTTTTTGTCTCTTCCAGCTTTGTAATAGAGTTCAAGACATTCTTGACATATCTAACACACTGTAAATTGTTGTTTCAGTCATTGGGCATCAAACCCTTGGAGTACATGGCTAGATATGGGAAGGAGAAAGAATTACAAAGTACATTGTTTATACTGTTGGGGGAATTTGGTGTAGACTACATATTAAAAAATACTATTGCACTTAAATAATAAATATTTTGAGTATGTAATTGAGTTGTAGTTATATAGGATAGTCTACTTATACCAGGACGTAAGTGTAGGAGTGATGTGCCATGTCACGACATGATACAACGTGCAAATGGTCAGAGTGTACATCCATGTACTAGATATGTATGAGGAAGGAAGAACGTGAACTGGCTAAATCAGTGAATCTAGGCAAGGAGTCGACATTTCACACTATCATATAACTCGTAAAGTTTTGAGCCTGCTTAAAATGGTGCAAACAAAATGCATTCTTTAAACTGGTCCTTTTCCAATTCTGTATCTGAGTTTTCTTGACTATGATAGAAGTAAGATTATAAGAATATCCAATTAGGGCCGGGGATTTAGCTCAGCGGTTCAGTGGCCTGCCTTGCAAGTGCAAGGACCTGAGTTCAATACCCGGTACCACCACCAAAAAAAAAAAAAGAATATCCAATTAGGGCCGGGGATTTAGCTCAGCGGTTCAGTGGCCTGCCTTGCAAGTGCAAGGACCTGAGTTCAATACCCGGTACCACCACCAAAAAAAAAAACAGAATATCCAATTAAAACCTTTTTTGGGAAAAGAAAACCACCATTAATTGATAACGAGGCTATCTTTATATACTTTAAAAAGTTAAAAAAAAAAAAACCAGCACTGTGTATCGGTCTTACTTGTACTGAGACACAATAATTGACATCTGCAAATTAGATAGAAATAATTTAAGCTTTATTCATTATTGCAAACTCCCTCTCCTCTCTCTCTCTTTTATTTTCTTTGTATTTTTACAGGGGGATTTTGGCAATTGCTTGGAGCATGGCAGATCCTGAATTGTTACTGAGCTGTGGAAAAGATGCAAAGATTCTGTGTTCTAATCCAAACACAGGAGAGGTATGGGGAAGTGATGTTTCTCAGTCTTGTAGCTCTTATAATATTTTATTTCTAGTTAAATGAGTAATTTTCCATATGGATTTTATAGTGAATGCGAATGAGTAAAGACATGACTAAGTAGAGGAGATTTTTTTCCCCAGAAACATTATCTAAGCTCAGTTCTTTCAACCAGAAAACTAATCATTGAAACAGTACATATAAAGCTGGTAGTAAGTAGCTTGCTTCCAATAAAGTGTGTTTATTACCTAGTGTCAGACATACTTGTTTGAGGAGCTGGGGTAACTCAATAGTAGAGTGCTTAGCATGCACAAGGCCCTGGATTCATTCTCTGGCACCAAAAAGAAAACCAACAATAATGATAATACTGCTTAGTTTGATTGATGTTACGTGTAATCTGTGGAAATCATTGTTTTTGTCATGTGCACATTCACACTTTGGCTCCTTTACCTGCTTTATTTTAACCTTGCCTGAAGACCCTCTGGCTTTTGGAATGTTTTTACATCTGTCTTCAGAAAAACCAAGAATATAATATTTTATAATATATTTTTCTTATGTCCTGCCCATGGATACTAAAATGTAGGCAGTCTTAACCTAATTAAATGTAAATGCTATATAAATGCCTTACACTTTTATTTGCTCTGGTTTATGAGCTTAAAATATCTATTACTTTTTATTATTGTTCTTAGTAGTCAGAGGGTTTCCCTACTGTTCTCAATTAGGCCATAGATTCTAATTACAACTTTTATATTCACTTTTCCTAATTAAGGTGGATTACTGCAAGTGCTTCTGTGGTTACTCTGATGGAATGCTAATAAAAATAAGAGTGTCTAGGGTATATATATAGCTCAGCAGTAGAGCGCTTGCATAGCATGTGCAAGTTTTTGGGCTTAATTCCCAGCACTTCCAAAAAAAAAAGTCTTCAATAGATTTTATTCTATAATATTAAATTAGACACAAACACTTTTATTATTTGATTTCTGGTTTAAAGTTTTTGGTTGTGGTATCTATATGAATATAGAGGGTGGGGTGGGCAAAGTGGCACAAACTTACATTTCCAGCTACTTGAGTGGTTCAAGCAGAAGGATGACAAATTCAAGGCCAACCCTGAGTAAGTTAGCAATGTTGCGGAAGGAATTTCCAAGTGTCACACAGAGAGGCAGCAGAATGGAAGTAAAATAACACATTTATTCATTGACAAGGGTCGATCACACATAAACAGTGCCTAGATTGATGACACACTGGGTTACAACTCCTCCTTTTATAGGGTTTTATGGCTTTGACTTCATTTGGGTGGTTACATTCCATTCTCACAGTTCACATCATGATCACAAGATAGTTCACTTTAACCCAGATGGAACAGTTCTTCGCAGTTGGGGAATTTACCTTAAGATTACTCTAGCTGTCTCTCCTAGTGCACAGGAAGGTGGTGTTCAAGGTTAGGGATGAGGCCAGATGTCCCATTACATGGTCACTGCTTCCAGGGTCTCTTAATTTGGAGGGCGGCTACCGGGGATCAAACTCTCCCTGCACTTGCAAGGCAGGCGGTGGAACCACTGAGCTAAATCCCTGGCCCCAGTGTCTGTTAATTTTGAACTAAACAAAGCAGATTGCTGTTAGAGACAGAAGTCATTTTACATTTTCCTAACATTTTGTAGGTTTTTAAATTATTTACAAAAGTTCTCTGTATCAGCAAGACCCTGTCTCAAAATGAAAAATTAAAAAGGGATGGTGCCAGCCAGATGGCACATACTTGTAATCCCAGCACTCAGGAAGCTGAGGCAGGAGGATTGCTGTGAGTTCAAGGCCAACCTGGATTGTATAGTGAATTCAAGGCCAGCCTGAAGTACACAGCAAGACCCCATTTCTAAATGAATGAATGAATAAATGAATCACTGAATGGCAAGAATGTGGCTCATTTGGCAGAGAGCCCTTGCCTAGTGTGCTAAAGACCCTGGGCCCAATCCCCAGTACTATTTCCCCCTCAGAGAATATAGTAGCATTAGTGTTAGGGGAGACAATAGAAGATTAAAATGGTAATAAATTTTACCTTCTATTACTTGCAGACAGTAAAAATTGTGTTTTACAATATACCTGCCCAACTAAGTTCAGGATTCATGAAAGCTGCATTCTTTCATCTTCTTAATTGTATAATTTTTTTAAAATGAACTTTTACTTTTGATTAGTTGTGTGTGCTTGGAGTTAGAAGTAACTAACTTTGGTTTTTGTTTTTTTGGTACCAGCAATTGAACTCAGGTCCTTGTGCTTGTGAGTCAGTCACCAGAACCACTGAGCTAAATCCCTGGCCCAGTAATTGACTTCTAATGCATGCTGCAATTAAAAAAAACTAGCTTCTTCACTAAGTGGCAAATTATGAACAGACAGTTTTAAGTTTAATAGAGATACATGTCTTATCAGTGTAAGGATCAAAGACATGAATAGGGTTTTTTTTTTTCCTTTTTCTTTTTTGAGAAGTGTATTGCTTTGTAGTACAGGCTGGCCTCAAACTCAGGGCAATCCTGTTTCAACTTTGCAAGTGCTGGGATTACAGACATGTCATTTGATTTATTTCTTAAGCTCTACAACCTATTCTCCTGTAAATAGCAGCTACTACCACACTAAATTCATGACAACTGTAGTAACATTGTTTTGGGTTTTTGTTTTTTTTTTTTTTTTTTGAGACAGGGTCTTGCTCTGCAGTTCAGGTTGGCCTTGAACTCACAGCAGTCCTCCTGTCTCAGCCTTCTGAGGTATATGCCACCACACTCAGCTAGCATTGTAAAGATTTTCCATCAGCAGGTGTGACTGAATTTGAAACTTGTTATTCTAGGGGTTTTGGTAGTTTCCGGTGAAATTAAATGGTTGAGGGAGTGAAGGAAAGATGGGTTTCCTTCCTTTCAGAATATAGAGTTTCCCCCAGTGCTTCCTTCCCAGGGCTCTCTCAGTGTCCAAATGTCTGTTTTTTCTGCCCTGATCCTCTGTTGCTTCCCTTGACCTGTATGCTTTAACAGGATTTTAAAAAACTGCTCTTATTAAGAAATATATTTGCCCTATTTTGTTTTCTTTCAGTAAATAACATGGCATCTCCTTGCATGTAGGAAGCAGGGTTAAAACTTTGAAGAAAAGACAAACATTTCACATCAGCTATTTACTATAGGTTTTTTTTGTTGTTGTTTTTGTTTTTGTTTTGTTTTTTTGCAGTACTGGGCATTGAACTCAGTGCCTTGTACTTGCAAGGCAGGTGTGGTGCCACTCAGCTAAATCTGCAGCCCTGTTTCCTATAGCTTTGCCGTGTCCTTTGCCTTCTAAACAGAGCTCTTACTGCCTAATTCTGTTAGGATTTTGTAGCAACAAGAATGGCATACACATATTTTATCTCTTCGACAAAAAACTGATTTCTTTGGGGATTTTTTGCTTTCTAGATTGATTTCAAAATTTGGTCCTCAAATAACCTAAATATGGTTGTTTGGATCTTGTCTGAGAAATAGTTACAAAGGACACCATTGGTCTTTTAGAGTTCAATAGGATGTTGTGGTCATTCAAACATATTTACTATAATTTGAAGGAAAACAAATCCTCTTGTTTAAAGATATGCTTGTTTAAATGTAGTTGAAATATTAAGTAGCATTTCTGTTTAGCCTAGTAGGCTGTCACAATGGATTTTTTTTTTAAATTTATAAGTAATTTTTAGGTATACAGTACAGTTACATTTTCATTGGGATCTTGTACCTTTGCACGGTGTATCTTGGTTCTTGTAATGGATCATTCTTTGTACTTTAATGAAATCTTACTGTTGATTTACTTGGCTAAAGACATTTTATAAAATAAAATGTTTAACTGTACTTACTGACAGTTCAGGTATTTTGCTTATGAAGTGGTTATACCCTTTTCTCACTTTTGTTGATTACTTTTTTTTTTTTTTTGGGGTGGGCATCGAATTTGGGACCTTGAGCTTGGGAGGCAGGCTGTGGAACCACTGAGCTAAATCCCTGGCCCTGATTATTATGTTTATTAATCTATTCATTTATTTTTGTTTGGCCTAGGTGTTATATGAACTTCCCACCAACACACAGTGGTGCTTTGATATTCAGTGGTGTCCCCGAAATCCTGCCGTCTTATCAGCCGCTTCCTTTGATGGACGGATCAGTGTTTATTCTGTCATGGGAGGGAGCACAGATGGCTTAAGGCAGAAACAGGTTGACAAGGTAATAGGAAGTGATAAGGCTTTTGTTTAATTATATACCCAAAAACTATATTGAATAATTATTTTGAAAGTAACTTCACTGACAAATAGTGCTTATTTAATGCTGATTTATCAGGTAATTGTGATAAAATATTTTAGTACATGACTTGAAAAACTGTATTGTAGTTTATATAAGTTACCGATTTGTGTGTGTGTGTATATATATATATATATATTTTTTTTTTTTCTTCCTTTTTTATTTAACTCTCAAGCTTTCATCGTCATTTGGCAATCTGGATCCCTTTGGCACAGGGCAGCCCCTCCCTCCGTTACAGATTCCACAGCAGACTGGGCAGCATAGCATAGTGCTGCCCCTGAAGAAGCCCCCTAAGTGGATCCGGAGACCCGTTGGTGCTTCCTTCTCAGTAAGTAGGTTTTGTTTTTATGGTTTATATTGACCAAGGACTTTTCACAGTAAAATGTCACTTTAGGATCATTCAGATGGTAAAAAGTAGGAATTGAGATGTATTTGTCAGCCATTCATTATTCAGAATGGTTTCTTAGAAAAAGTGGAGCCTTTTAAAAAACACTGGGAAGGGCAGGGGATTTAGCTCAGTGGTGCCACAGCCTGCATCGCAAGCACAAAGATCTGAGTTCGATCCCCTGTACCAAAAACAAAACAAAAAAAAACACCAAAAAACCAAAACATTGTGGTGGAATATACATAATATAAAATTTATCATCTGTACCACTTTTTAAATATTTCAGAGCCAAACATGATGCCATATGCCACTCAGGAGACTGAGGCAGGAGGATTTTAAGTTTAGGGCCAACCTGGGCAACATAGTGAGACATTGTCTTATTCATAGATGATGGATGGATGGATGGATGGATAGAAAAAACAGATTAGTAATATTCAGCACCTTCATATTGTTGTGTGATCATCACCTCTCTGTTTCCTTCTCACCCCCTTTTTAAAACTAATCTGTCTTTTTTTCTTTTTCTTGAGAATGGGCAGGGATCAATATGTGCTATCTCCTTTCCTAGTTTTTTTCACTTGCCAGCATTTTTTTTTTTTTTTTTTTTTTTT